CATGTAGATATCCAATTGTCCTAGCACTGTACCATATTTGGCAAGATTATTCATTTTCCCATTGAATTGCCTTGGCAATTTCATCTAAAATCAATTGACCATCAATGTATAGGTTTATTTTTTTAAATAATTATTTATTCTATTATTATTTTTTATTTTGCTGTAGAAAACATGTGCTCACCAGAGAAAGACAGACAGAGAGAGGGAAAGTGATAAAGCAAGTTGTCAGGTCAAACACACGAACTGTGGTCGATTGTGTGGGAGTCCAGTGTCTTAACCACCACACCACATACTGGCCCCAGGTTTTTTAAAAAACAATTTCATTGGTATATGGTTGATATACAAAAGCTGTACATATTTAATGTATACAATGTGATGTATTTGAAGATAAGTATACAGTCATGAAACCATCACTATAATCTATGCCATAAACAAATTTATCATCTCCAAAAGTTTCTAGTCATTTTGGCAACTATAAAAAATATAATTTAAACCAAGTGTATCTGTACTCATCTATGTCAACAATGTATAAACCCCTTGCCACAAGCATTTGAAAATACTACATTGAACTCAGCTGTAGAAGTTTACCAAACTGAGTCAGTGAGAGTTTTGCCAAGAATAAACAAAATAATGAGTCTATAACTAAAGAATGTTCCACTCTGCAATTATTTTTCAAACCATCAGAAGAACTTCAGACTTTTTCACACTGAAGCATAGTAGCAAAACCCAAGTTCTGATGGTAGGCAGACCTGGATTATAAATCCACTAAACAGTTGAATTACCTTAGACAACACACAACAGACCTGTAGTCTCCAAATCTCAGCTTTCTCATCTATACATGTAACTTGATTTCTCCCAGGCCTCACCAGCAAGAGATGTAAGTGAAGTCTGCTATGGTTTGGATATTTGTGTCCCTCCAAAATTCATGTTGAAACTTAATCCCCAATGCAATGGCATGAGAAGGTGGAGCCTTTGGAAGGTGATTAGGTAGCGAGGGTTCTGGCCCCATGAATGGGATTAGGGCTTTTATAAAAGAGGTTTGAGGGAGTCTGTTTGCCTTTTTGCCCTTCTGCCACGTGAGGGCAGAGCAAGAAGGTGCAAGCCTTCGCCAGACACCCAGTCTTCTGACACATTGATCCTGGGTTTCCCAAGCTCCAAAAGTGTAAGAAATAAATTTCTGTTAATTATAAATTACCCAGTCTAAAATATTTAGTTACAGCAGCAGGAACGAACTAAGACAAAGCCATGTGAACAGCCATGATGCCTACTTTCTTGGCAATTTTTCATCTCAGCTCTTGAGGGTTTCTGGTTTTCATAAAGTCAATCACCTCCAACTGCTTCTAGGGATATCTTACATGTGCTTACCTGCGAACAAGCTGGTTCCACTCACACCACTGTGGTTACTGCCCCTGTTCCATACCACACAGGGGCTCAGATAGGTTCTATTTCCTGGGCTCTGAGCAGGACCTACAGGTGCTTCTCCAGTGAATATGGGAATGCCCAACAGGTTGAGAATTACCAGGTTCCTGAATTTAGCCTGGCACTTTGGTTTCAAAACATCTACCTTGATCTGAGTTTCTATCTTATCTTTCTTTTTTAAATTATAATATTTTTATTTACATTTAATCAGTATACATCTGTACAGCATACAGAATGGTTTAAGGGGCATGAATAGAGTGTGTATTAGTCCAGTCAATGATATAGCCAATATACATTATCATCAACAGATAACTACGTTTTGGGGTCTTTTACAATTTTTTTTCCTGATTCCCTCCCTCCCATCTCCTATTATATGGGACCTCCTGTAGTATCTCTAGTATCTACTCTTGCCATCCCTGCTTTTATATTTTTCAATCTCTTAGTTTCTGCTGTAGAATGCAGACATTCAGTATATATTAAGCAGGTACAAACAATGCCCCTCTTTCATAGTCTGACTTGCTTGCTTAGCATTAAATCTTCATATTTTTCCACTTCGTACCAAATGTCAGGATATCATTGTTTTTTACAGTTAGGTAGTATTCCATAGTGTATATGTGCCACATTCTTTTCAATCCATTCATCTGCTCTTGGACATTTCATTTGTAGATTTTTGAGATATCTCCATATTGTTCTACACAATGGGTTGTCTTAAGGGCTGGAAGTTTGTGCAAAACACCTCTAGAGATGTGAGTTTCTAACTCTGGGATGCATAAGACTAACCTGGTGAATTGTCAGAAATGCACATTGCTGAACGCTACTCATGCAGAATATCTGCAAGCCACCTAGAAATGACTTCTCTAATATATTAATGATTTGGGTGGTGGCAGGCTGTCTTAGGCTTTCACAACTGGTCTTCAAAGTCATTTCCACATCTTCATCCTTACACCAGGGTGTTACCCAAATCCAACTTGGTTTGTGCAGAGTCACTCTGTATTCAGTGGGCCACCTGGCTCTGGCTTTGCTTATTAACCATGAGAAAACAGCACTCAAGTAGTGCTTAGTCTGAAGTATAAACAGATAGGGTCCTGGGTTATCATCTTATTTCAACATGTTTTTCTTCCTATATTTCCTGGGTGCCTCTATTCATCCAGTCTCTTATAGCTGAAACCTAGTAGTGATCATAAACT